TTTTTGGAAAACAATGTACTAATTATAAAGTCATGTGTCATTGCACCATTATAAGGACTGTAGAAGTGCCAAAAAAATGTGATAATTTAGTCTATCTGCACCGCCCTAGAAATATGTGGCAGTAATCCTTTATATTTTCAAAATGCATTACAATAAAATGAAATAGTTGCTGTGACAGTACATCTACGCATTACTGTAACAACTAAAAACAGAAATGCATTTTAATTACGAACCTGTTTATTACGTAAATATCAATTTGATAAAATGACGCACTGGAGCCGTACGTCTTCAGGTCAAATATAAAATAGTGCAAAACAAATAATATAATGCTTTTATTTATTATCTGCACATATATGTACCTACACTACGATTCAAGAAATTTAAAAAAATTATAGCAGAAATTCTGCAAAACAGTTGCCTTATACTTTTTTATTTAAGTTTGTACCGTTATAAGATCATCGGAACTAATGTAAATAATTTGATCATTAAGCATATGTATAAATAGTTTATGTAAGACATGCTGATACTCAATAAATTAAATGTACTCACATGAAAACTTTAAATGGGTCATTTATGGTATATGATTTATACATATAATGGGCTCTAAAGTATATAAACGATATAAGATACCTTCCGGCACTTTTTTGTAAAATATATAAAATAATTTAAAAATATAAAAGCGCTCGTAAAATTATTAGAAGATGGAAAGTAGTTACTAAGTAGTAACAAGCGAAAATTATATAAAAAAGTACGTAGAATCTCATGGTGCTAACGGTTTTCGAGTGCAATGTCAAATAAGGTACTTTCCGACAATATTTCTGCTATGTTATATAAAATAATTTAAAAATAGAAAAGCGCACGTAATATTACTGGGGTGCAAGGTAGTTACTAAGCATCGTTTTTTTCGTGAGATGTAATATAAGGTACTTTGCGGTATTTTTTCTGATAAAATTTATAAAATAGTTTAAACATCTAAAAGCGCTCGTATAATTATTAGGAAATTGAAGGTATTTAGGTACTAAGTACTGAGAAGAAAAGAATCTCATACATAACAATACATCTACAATATTATGCGCTTTAGATGTACAACAGGAATGTTTTGCACTACTAATCAATTCTACAATTTCCCGGTTCACCATTTGAATTCAAATGCAGCAACCATTATGTTTTGTTTAATCTGTAGATTTTGTAGTAGATGATGCCACTTATTTTCGGTCATAAAAGAACAAGAATGCACGCAACCCAACGTGCACCTCCAACAGCATTGTTATTTTTTTAAATAATAATCAAATTTAAGCAAACTTTTAAAAATGTTTTATGTAATCTTTCGACCTNCTAAGTAAAATGTCGGTAATATTGATTTTTTTTATTGATTATGAAGCTATTATTCAGTGACAATAAGGAGATGGATATATTTTTTTTAAAATCAAGGAAATTACAATTTTAAACGCACTGTTTCTGTTGTATTGCAGATTCAACTGACCACAACATTTTTGAAACTGGAACCAATTTCTCTTATATCCGTAATTTTCTTCGGATGTTTAATGGGTCTTCAGTTTATTGGTATGCTTATGCACAGATTTACCATATTCTGTCAGATTTTGTCAAATACATCGGTTCGAATTGGCCGTTTCCAAAAATCGGTAAGTTTTTTTTCTATATAAACCAGCTTAATACGAAAAACAAACTCCATCCCAGAAAACTGAACAATTGCCAAAAATCTTAACACATAATTCATTCATTCGTTCAAAGCAGTTGGTGAAATTTCCGCTAGGATTACTATATTCAGGTACCTAATTCAGTCACCAAGACTTACATTTTTTCTTTACATTAGAAAAATAAGCAAACCGACGAAGTATTATTAGAAAAAGATCCCGTAAGGATGGTTAAAAAGCTTATCCAATTAAGAGACGTCAAAAAAGAAAAAGATATAGAAAGGAGAAACACTAGTATCGAAAGGGTCAAAGATGGTGTCAAATCTGATGAAGCTACAACTACAGACTTAACACATGCCTTCAGTAGACGGTTAGCCAAATTTAGAAGCTACGGTACAAACCTATAAAGAATAAGTACTATTTAAAGATAAATGACAATCGTTAACAAGTGACGATTGACATTGTTGCGAATAAAAACACTGTTTAAAGATGTTCTTATTTGTTTTAATTACAGAAGGTAACGACGCAACTGGAAGAAAATCGATTGTTTTTGAGATTAACAAATACAGATCGACCATAGCCCATCTGAATAGTCGTTCAGTAACTTCGGGAAATGTAAGATCGCGTCATACCCATGTCAATTTTGGTTAGTAATCAGAAGGTGAAACAGTTAAACAAGTAAATTGTCAATTTTATATGTACTGCCCGAACTAAATAATTTATGCGCCAAGACATAAATGTCAATATAATGCTTTTATTTATTATCTGCACATATATGTACCTACACTACGATTCAAGAAATTTAAAAAAATTATAGCAGAAATTCTGCAAAACAGTTGCCTTATACTTTTTTATTTAAGTTTGTACCGTTATAAGATCATCGGAACTAATGTAAATAATTTGATCATTAAGCATATGTATAAATAGTTTATGTAAGACATGCTGATACTCAATAAATTAAATGTACTCACATGAAAACTTTAAATGGGTCATTTATGGTATATGATTTATACATATAATGGGCTCTAAAGTATATAAACGATATAAGATACCTTCCGGCACTTTTTTGTAAAATATATAAAATAATTTAAAAATATAAAAGCGC